AGCCACAGAGTTGTCCACATTCGTGTCCTTGGACACGAATCATCAAGTGAGGGAAGATGTGGAGGCAGTTCCTTGTGGGAGACCACTCAGCCTGTCCATTTGCACTGCCTCATCAGAAAAGCTATGAAGAAGGAGAGACACCTCATTCAACATGTGGTGGCCGTTGGCTGGTGCCTCTGCCTGGGTGGTGAAAGTGAAAAATAATGTGTGGGGAGAATCACTGCAAAGGGAAATGCTGAAATGGGTTTGGTTTCCTTTGGTTTCTTTTCCCACAACCAGGAGGGAGATGGAAGAGGGACGTGGGTGTTCGCAGCTTGCTGGTGTCTTCTGCTGCTGGTGATAAGAGGCTGGGATGTTGCTGAGGCTGTTGTCATGCTGAAGGAGATCTCCAGAGGCTCAGTGTCCCTATGTACCTTGGCAGGTTTAGGACACCTCTTCTTGTTTCCTGACAAACTCCTCTCACTCTCCTTCTCTGCAAGCTGGGGAGGAGCTTCAGGCTCATCTAAGGTGCTACACGGTAGAGCAGTGAATGGGCACTAAGTGAGCAAAGGCGGCATCTTCATGGACAGATGATAAACAGAGGTTTATAGGAGTGGGGATGAGATCACTTTGCTGTGATTGCTCCATGTTGCAGCAGCAGTGGATAGGGCAGGTGGTACTCAAGCCCTCGGGGTGTCCATGGGCTCCCTTCTTCCCCAGGACAAACCCCACACCTCGAGGGGACCCAAGCTGTGCAGCCAGGCAGCAGCAGGGTTGGGGCATGCTCTGCTGCTTCTCCCCTGCTGAAACAAAGACCCTTGCGAAGGACCACGCAAGGACGTAACAAACCTCGAGACAAATGCCTATGGAAATATTCATCGTCAGAGATGTTGGCTTGCTTCTCCTTGTAATTACTGAGTAATACAAGTGGTAAATTTCCAGTGTTTTTCTATTTGGGGAATATATACATATATGTTTTCAGGCACAGCATGAGACTAAGTCTGACTTCTTTCAGTGTGCCTAGTTTAAAAAAGGAAAGAAAATTATTGCCAAACAGCAAAACTGAGTAGTCTTTCTTTTCAGTGGGACACACCAGCTGAGCACACTTGCTCTCATCACATGCTCTACAATACGGCAGACCCGAGCAGTTCATGAGGACAGTTCCGCATCACCTGCTGTTGCTGCTCCTTACCAAGTACCCTTGTATCCCCAGGGCATGCAGAGACCTCCGCTAAATAGCCAAAGTTACATCCAGGGCATCCCAAACAGCTGTCCACATTCAACCCACTAATTCTGATTTTAGAGTTCTTCCAATCAGGATTACGAGACACTCCTGAATTTGTTCCCAGCTGGAATGAGAGAACCTTGGTATATGCCCTGGACTGTGAGAAACAGGCTCTGCCTTTCAGTGACATAAACCAGTTTAATGGCTATAACTTTGTTACTGCTGACTTACTGAATCCTCTGTCTGAGAAAATTGCATCACCCTTGATAGTTAAAACTCTAGCTAAGCCCAAGGAGATGACTGTAGGAGCTTTGAGGAAGGAATACTCCTAAAATTTCATCCCTAGTTTATTAGTAAGGAAATCCTAGTGCTGGAAGACCATCTCTAAAAGTGTAGTCTTTGTTCACTACCTTATAATTTGTTTTTTTCTAGCCTCAAGATTTCTTGGGGTTCTTCTTTAGTTCTGGCTTGGGGTTTGGTTTTTTTTTGGGGGGGGGGGGGGAGGTTGTTGGCTTAGCTGAGATACCAGATGCTAAATATGTACAACATATCTGGAAGAACAGAGAAAAAACTGGTATCAACACAAATGAAAACATGTATAAAATTTATTGTAAGCAAAACAATTTTGTGCAAACAGTGAGGGGAAAAAAGGCTTACTTTTTTTTTAAAAAAACACCACATGACATTGTAAAATGTAAAACCTACCAAATCTACTCTTGGCACTCTGTCCAATAACAGTCCACAAGCAGCCCACTCAAGCCAGTTCTGTAATTGGCTTTGTGGGCTTTTTTCTTGCAAAGTGGAGCTCAAATCTCTGAGGTTTAATGTTGGGCCTTAAGCAAGATCTATTTTTTAATATTTCTGAGGTAGGAAGGTGAGGAATGACCCAACAAGCTGGAATCAGAGCTGTAGCAGCACAGAGCCTGCCTCTGTTAGCTTCTCAGGCCCCCAGCGTGTGATCCCCAGACAGCACTTGGTGGGTGAACCTCCTCGGCGTGGGCCCCAACCAGCCACGGAACTGCTCTCTCTTCTTTACCCAGGCTGTAAAACTCAGGCAGAGGATGGTCAAATTCATTAAGGCGGAAGCGAGTTGCCAGTTTGTTTACCATCCGTTTCAGGGTGACAAAGGCTGCAATGACTTGGAAGGTGAGGAAGAGCGCAAAGATGATATGGACTGCTCGCTCCAGTGGCTGAATTTTCAGACCTTCGTTAAAGAGCAAGAAGAGAATCATAGGCAACTGCAGGAGGAGAGTCAGGAGCCAAAACCCAGCCAGCTCAGGGACCTATAACAGGGAGACATCATCAATGAACTGGCAGGCAGAGATGAAAAAATCCAGCACTTTGTGGAGAAAACCACAGCTTTCTTTTTATCTTCCAAAAGCCACCACATGATGTAAACCAGCAAAAGTCAGGTAACTTTCCACAAACTGTGTCTTTAACCATACTTTTGTGCATTCCATGAAGTTTTCCTTCAGAAGACAGCCCTCTTGCTCCCCAAAGCTGTGGGTTTTTTTAGAAAAAATAATAAGTGGAAGCTGATGCCAAGGGAATAGAGGAGGCAGACTATAACTTAAAGAAATAATCATCTCCTCAACTTATAGATGAACTGGTACACTACTTAGGGTCAGGTCCAAAAAGCTCTCCTGCACAAACGAGTGTGTACATGCGGTACCATACCTTCTCCTGCAGATTGCCCATGTATCCCAGGTAGAGTCGAATGATCTCTATTACAGAGACTAGGATCATGATTGTGACCAGGATGAACTTGTAGTAATCTGACAAGATTGGATACTAAAGGGAAGAAGAATAAAAGTTTCTGCCGTGCTGTTCCATAACATGCTGTTTGTGATTAAATGAAGACACTGTGCGCTTCTGTAAGCTGACAGTGTTGCATTGCCTTTCAAATACTCTTGAGCCTCCACTTTCAAGGAATTCCTAAATAGAGCTGATAGTTAGAGGAGTTAGAGGTTATCTAAGTACTAGGAGGTGTTTGATCAACAGCATATCACATTTGCAAATCATCACTTTCTTCAGGGCTCACCTTCAGATGCAGCATGACAACTGCGCTGAGCCACCAAAATGGGAAAAAATAAACGTTGAAATAGAGGGCCATCTGCAGTGGTAAACTGGAAACTACTTCATTCCCTGTAGATAGAGAGAAGACTTTATCACTCCTAGTTTGTTCCATACTTCCCTTCCATAAATATGACAGAAAGATACTCCTTCATCTGAGCTTCTAGTAGGGTGTTAACATTCTTCTCAGTCAAACCAAACATTAAGAATAATATTTTTATATATTCAGAGGCAGAAGTCTACCCTATCTTGAGTTACACCATTTCCTGGAATCTAATGCAACTTTCACTTCACAGGATACAGAATTTTTATCACTTAGTCATATACTTGAGTCTCTGTTGTTTACCTGCTGGCTTATGGCTTATTCCACAATCTGTGACTCACAGGTTTAGCTCAGGTACTTTTGAATACTGATACTGCAGAAAGAGTTAGTGGTTATTTCATTGCTGTTCTAACAGAATGGACAAAATTTAAATGAGCACATACTGGGTTATCGTTATTTTTAGATGATCCTCCTGAGTAAGGACTTACTGCTAGAGAGCAGGTTTGCACTGCTGACTCTTCATTTTCAGTCTTTGTTTAACCAGATATTTGGATGGAAGAGCTGTTGTAAGAAGCCAGTAATTCTTCTGGTTCTTAAGAGCTAATAATTTTAAATGTGTCAAACTAAAACTTATCCTTTAAAGTCTAGAGAGAACAAAATGCATTCATTCAATGTAGAGAACAGCAAATATTGAACTGTAACATGCAGGCAGTAAATTCTATATTTACTGCATGGATTTAATGGATTTACAAGATTAGACAAGGAAAACTTTAAAAAGGCATTCTAAGTGAATCATTCATTTTTAATGGGTGAAGTTTTCTTGCCATATTCTACTTAACTGATATTGCATCCACTTTCCTTCAATTACCAACAGACCCCTTTCTCATGTTTTCCCCCAATGAAGTCTGTAGATGCATCTTCACTTGTTACTACCTGGACAAGTTTCAGAAAATATTCATTGTGGCCTGCTGATTTGTATTTGACTCCTGTGCATCTGCCATCACAATGGTGATATCTGATTAAAAATTAGTCTGATCTGGCACACTGTCTCACTTTCAGCCTCAGAACCACCTCTCTTCTGACACTGCCTTCTCTTTCCATATCTTCCAACCATTCTCATACCTGTCTTTGTTCCATCTGTCTGGCATCCCTGTTTCCAGTCCAGCCACATGCAGCCTGGTGCAGTCCATTCCAGAAGTCTTTGTGCCAGTTGCCAAAGTATTTGTGGTAGCTACTAGACTAGGTAGGAAGGGAGGAGGATTTGGGAACAGAACTGGGATAGACCTTAAAGGTAGGGTGTGAGGGGCAGGAATTTGTTACACTGAAATTGAAGGTGCAAGACAGTCAATATATATTTCTTTTTAATAATCCCATTTTTAAGCATCAATGCTTTTAAATTCTGCAAAGGAATGAATCTATTGGTACTTCAAAATCAGTTTCACTATCTACCTAAAACTGCTGCAATTCTCCTAATGAATTAATCTCTTAAACACTGGGAGGACTTTGGAGGGCATGAAGATAAAATTATAAACCACTGGTTTATCTTTCAAAACCTATCCCATGACCATTCAATTACAAGTAACTAAGTTTCTGCCCTTTATGTATTAGATGAAAATTTAATGGTTCATGGCCATATTACTTAAAAACAGAGGAGCCAACATATCTAATTCCATTGTGATAATGCGAATGTTTCATGTACGTTAAAGGTTTCACTGATATAGCATTGATAAGGAACCTGAAGGTGCACAAGTCCATGGGACCTGATGAATACATCCACGGGTCCTGAGGGAAATAGCGGATGAGGTTGCTAAATATCTATCCATCATAGTCAAGAAGTCATGGCAGTCTGGTGAAGTTCCCACTGACTGGCAAAGGGGAAACATAACCCCCATCTTTAAGAAGGAAAAAAAGGAGGATCCAGGGAACTACAGACCAGTCAGCCTCACCTCTGTGCCTGGCAAGATCATGGAGCAGATCCTCCTGGAAACCATGCTGAGGCACATGGAGAATGAGGAGGTGATGGGTGACAGCCAACATGGCTTCACCAAGGGCAGATCGTGCCTGACAAATATGGTGGCTTCTACGATGGGGTCCCGGCCTCAGAGGATGAAGGATGGGCAACAGATGCCATCTACCTGGACTTGTGCAAAGTGTCTGACACTGTCCTGCACAACATCCTTCTCTCTAAATTGCAGAGACATGGATTTGATCGATGTACCGCTCAGTGGATAAGGAAATGTCTGTATGGTTGCAGACAGTTGTGGTCAACGGCTCAATGTCTGAGTGGAGACCAGAGACAAGTGTCATCCCTCAGGGGTCGGTGTTGGGACCGGTGCTGTTTAACATCTTTGTCAGTGACATGGATGATGGGATTGAGTGCACCCTCAGCAAGTCTGCCGATGACACCAAGCTGTGTGGTACCTTTGACACAGAGGGGGGAAGGGATTCCATTGTGAGGGACCTGGACAGGCTGGAGAGGTGGGCCACTGCCAACCTCATGGAGTTCAACAAGGCCAAGGGCAAGGTCCCGCACCTGGGTCGAGGCAATCCCAAACACAAGGACAGGCTGGGTGGAGAGTGGATTGAGAGCAGCCCTGAGGAGAAGGACTTGGGGTTCTGGTGGATGAAAAGCTGGACATGAGCCGGCCGTGTGCGCTGGCAGCCCAGAAAGCCAACAGGATCCAGAGAAGTGTGGCCAGCAGTTCAACGAGGTGATTCTCCCCCTTTGCTCTACTCTGCTCTCATGAGACCCACCTGGAGCGCTGTGCCCAGCTCTGGGGCCCCCAGCATAAGAAGGATATTGACCAGTTGGAGCGAGTCCAGACGAAGGCCACGAAGACGATCAGAGGGCTGGAACATGTCTCCAAAGAACAAATACTGAGACAATTTGGCTTGTTCAGCCTGGAGAAGAGAAGGCTCTGGGGAGACCTCATAGCACCTTCCCCCCACAGTGAAGCTGGGGGGGACTTTTTACAAGGGCCTGTAGTGACAGGACAAGGTTTAATGGGTTTAAATTGAAAGTGGGGAGGTTTAGATTGGATATCAGGAAGTTCTTCCCAGAGAGGGTGGTGAGGCAGTGGCACAGGTTGCCCAGAGAAGCTGTGGATGCCCCATCCCTGGAAGTGTCCAAGGCCAGGCTGGATGAGGCTTTGAGCCACCTGGTCTAGTGGAAGGTGTCCCTGCGGGGGTTGGAACTAAACGGTCTTTAAGGTCCCTTCCAACCCCAACCATTCTATGATTCTATGATAATATAATCTTTCTACATAGACTATTTTAATGGCTACTGTCACTCTAAAGGTATGAAAAGAGGGCACATTAGCCTGCAGGTTTCACTGCTTGTATTATGAAGGAACAATTAACATTCCTTATGACGGACTTGGGAGACAAAGCTGACATATGGTGAGTTTGAATTTTTGCTGCCTAACTCTAGCCCAGTATACCTCTTCATGCTTTAAGCCCTAACTGTGCAGGACTAGTGAGCTTAAAGGAGCAGCTCAGTTCTTTTAGTTGTTCTGTGCTCTCCATAAATCATTTCTACTTTTTTATTTGGGCACAGACAGAGTGCCTGGTGTGTGAGTAACAATTGTTATCTGCAATATTTTATGCAAACTCACTAAGTTGTAAAGGTGGGTATAGAGTGTCCTCTATACCTGCTTTTTAAATCAGACTCTTCACTATTTAGTACATTAAGGGCCCAGGAGGCCCGTCTTGGACCCGCAACGCGTCAGCAGGTGAAGTGTACCAGACACCATCCAGGAAGCCACACCCCACGACCACCAGTGAACCGCGACCCCACCTCACGGGCATCTCTGCTTTTCACCGCGGGGCCCGCACCCGTGCCGCCCGCGATGCTCTCGAGGCCTTCCCCGGGCCCCTTGGTCTGGAGGAGCGCGACGGGGCTCTGGGGCCGGCACCTCAGCCTTCCTGCCCCA